CTTAGAGCGGGTAATGATTGGAGTCCACGGTTTGCTATTTATGGTGACCTGGGTAATATATTAGCGGCTACCCTACCACGATTACAGGATGAGGTTCAACAGGGGCTATACGATGCTATACTACATGTGGGTAAGTGTTACCACGTTTGCTACTTATGAATCACCATCGATTTATTATGTACTTGTACAGTATTGTTATCGGTACTACAGTAGATAGTATTTAATTTTCATAAATGTTCTTGACATAATTAATATTAAATTTTTTAGAAGTATTAACAATAAAAGTTCAAGTACTTTATGAATTATCAATATGTTATAAAGCTTTTAATTTTAACAAAATTTTTCTATCATTTAATTAACAGGTGATATCGCGTACGATTTGCATCTAGTAAGTAAATAATTATATTTTTAATAAAGTTTCCAAATTTCTATAAATAATACAATTAATTACACATAAATAAATGCAAACTACATATAAAGTAATTTTTTAAAAAACCTAAAAAACATAATATTTTGTATTTTTTAGGATAATGCCAGAGTTGGCGACGAGTTTATGAGACAGATAGAGCCAATCGCGGCGTACGTACCCTATCAAGTGTGTCCGGGTAATCACGAGGAGGCCTAGTATGTACAGCAAATTCATTATAATATAACATTTTTAAATAATATTAGTCATAAACCTAACCTAACCTACTTATATTTCATTTACAACATTTTACCTTTAACAATTAATTAATTACGACTATTGTACCTAGCAATTTCTCCAATTATGACAACCGCTTCTCAATGATCTCTACCGGTGACTCGCAGATCAATAACCACTTCTGGAGCACAAACATAGGCCCGGCTCACATCGTATCCATTTCCACGGAGTTCTACTACTACCCCAAATACGGCACCCATCAGATCGAGAACCAGTACCGTTGGCTGGAAAGGGATCTCAGCGAAGCCAATAAGCCTGAGAACAGGGCTCAGCGGCCCTGGCTTATAGTGATGGGTCACCGGCCCCTGTACGCCCAGAATCATATAGACAACCTTGTATTTATTAATGCACTCAGTAAAGTATCTTGATAATTGTTATTAATTTTTATTGTTTTTAATTTACAGTTAAGATATGGCTATAGTTTTGCGAAGGGCTCTAAACCCGAGTTTGGTTACGAGGAACTCCTACACAAGTATGGGGTGGACCTCACATTCTGGGCCCACGAACACAATTACGAGCGCCTGTGGCCTATATATAATGATACCGTATGCAACGGCACCGTCGACCAGCCCTACAATAACCCTAAGGCACCGGTACATATCATCACCGGTAGTGCTGTAAGTAGTGACTGAAATAAACTGATCCTGTTAGAAAAATTTTATTAATAATTATTTTTTCGCGGGGTTAGGGCTCACGGGAAAGGCATACATCGTTCATAGCCACTCCACACTACAGTGCGTTTCAAAATGAGGAGTTTGGCTACACCCGTATGACTATACATAATTTCACGCACATTTACCTTGAACAGTTATCCGTGGAAAGGGTATTAATTATTAAATAATTTTTTAATCGTAACCATAATTAAAATATTATGTTTTATCGTATTGTACAGAATGGCGGGCAAGTGATCGATAAGTTTTATTTGATCAAGGAGAAACATGGTTTCCAAGCCTGGCTATGAGCTTGAAAAATAGCAAGCACAATAAATACTTGAATTAAGATAATTAATTAACAACACTACATACTTAAATGAATATTTGATGTACAATAATATACAATAATGTCAAATAAAATAAAAAATATTGAAAACAATAAAATCATTCATTCATGCAATATATTGTTGAAATTAAATTCAAATCACAGTTAACTTTATTTTCACTTCACTATCCAAACGGTTATATTTGATGTCATTTGTTTAGATTTTTCATATAAATCTTAATCCCAGTCCCACTCACCAAATGTGTTGGCATTTAATGATAGTTTCACTACCAGTGCTGGTATTGAGTGCATCACAAAATCCATTGTGTGATCCAAAGCTTACCATCGATTCTGCATTTGTTGACAAATACTCGGATTCTGGTGAAGATATCATCACTTTATTTGCCAAACAAACGGTCCATCAATTGACAGTCAGTTCCCATGAAAACAGTGATACGTTTCGATACAATAGTTCGCAACCATTGACCGAATGGTCAAACGGTGATCCCATTGAGGGTCCCATTAATTCGGCCAATCATTATAGCATTGGAAATACACTTATATTAGAGAATGTAAGCCTAATATGTGTTTTAAGTATAATTGACACACATTTTCATATATCCATACAATAGGACATAAGAAAAATGCGGTGGGATTTGAAGGTTCACAGTAAGACTGTTCGCAGGAATAAAACATTTTCCAACACCCCATTTAAAGTGTACGTACTTATGACTGTCCCCATCGACTCGACACATATGAACGTCTATGTACTCACAACCAAAGACCACCAGTCCTTTGAAATGGCAACCACTCAATACCGCACAAACGGGTGGCCCGTTAGGAGATTTTTTGTGGTCCGTATAAATGACACAAATAGCGAGACGTTAGACCACTTGAGACACACGACCGCCGGCTTTGTATACAAGGATTACATGTATTTGATGTCCGGTTATAGGATTTGTGTGACGAAAGTGCCGACCGATATCTGGAGCGCTGACTGTAAGCCACATACGATCACCAAATGGCTGGACATTGTTTGCGAAGACATTACTGTATTAGTAATAGTATTAGTGATAATAACAGCGGTTCTGTCGTTAGTGGCAGTGATTCTTGTGGTGGCGGTTGTGGTGACGGCTTATAGACGTAGAAAGCGTGAGAAATATATGGCAGACATATCGATGACTGAAGTAACGGTAGATTCCGATACAAGAGGTTTAATATCTAAAGCTATTTTTAAGGGCAAAAAGATATCCATTGCTTCGCAAACGACAACTCAAAGGATATGAATTGAAAATACTTTTATAAAATGGGTTTCAGTTTATGCACTCAAAGTATTATTGTATTTGGTTTTGTAGATATTGTTTTACTGTTATTTTTAAATTCAAAAATAATAAAATCCAGAAAAAACTACAAAAACTGTAATATACACTGAATTTTATTTATAAATAATTTAATGTTAAATGTTGTAAAAAATTTGTTTGATTTTATTTTATGAGAATGGCAAAAAATGTAATTGAAATAACTAACAATATTACCGTACATACTTATTAGAATATATTATGTCCTATATGTTTTATTTTATAGATGTGCTAGATACACTATTACATTTTAAATCAGTGGTTTAGATAAATAATTTTTAAATCATAGTGAAACCTCTATCATGAATTATATTTTAATCAAGTTAATAATTATAATATTAACTATGTATAGTGTGTAAATTCTAAAATGTGTATTGATTTAATTTAATGTCTATAAGTTACTAGTTTTTTGCATTTAGTAAAATTAATAAATTAATTATTTTTATAAATGGATAAATATATAAAATTACATTTGAAAATACAGGGACAAGCGTACTGGCTGTCCTATTAATAAATTTGACAATAGTATTAAATAAAATTATGTAGTTAAATAATGTTTATACAATTGGGAACTTTATAATTAAGTTAATAGCGTTTTGCACTAAACAAATGGTGTAAGAATATAATAATAATTAAAACAAATAATTTAGCAATGATATCAATTTTGTCTATTGCAAAATACTGTACTAATACATAAAAATTCATAAAAATAAATAATTAATACATTAAGTATCAATAAATAATAAGTACAGTACTAGAATAAAACAAATAATAAAGTAATTAGTATATCCATTTTGTCTATAATTATTACCTTAAGTATTCATTAATAATAGATACAAGAATACTTACAAATTAATAGGTTTTTTGATATCATTTCAATTATCGACAAAATATAACTATAAATAGTAGTATATGTTATACATAAATATACAAAACATTCAGTTTTTATTGTCATATAATTTAGATAATAGTTAACAAACAACTTTTATAAAATTTAATGTCAATATTTAGACATGGACAAAATTAATGTGAATGAAGTATTACCAAGATGTTTAATCACACGCTCAGCCAGCAATCAATTATATAAAATTGGTTTATCATTTTACAGTAGTTCATATGACACTAGACTACCACGATCATTTGCGTACAAACCAATCATTATTAATACGTGTATTTTACTATACGCTATTAAATCAATAATCGTATCATGGTTATCAAGCAAACATGACAGGTTAAAAGTGATCATGGGCGATCTATCGTATATTATGGGTATCCCTAACCATGTTAATATATTCATTATTACGTGGGCTATAATGAACCTGATGTTTGGGCTAACATTCTTTTATAATTATTACCATGGTATAAAACCTACATTTATGATACTATTTGATATGTTTGCGGGACATTTAACCCCGGCTCAAATTGGATTGCGTAATACATACTCGACGTATAAATTAATTAAAATGGCACGAGTATTATTTAAAATAGCTAGATTTATTCAAAATGCTTTCGTACCTTGGTATATAATATTTGTCATGTTAGTATATATTCAAAATTGTACACTATTAGATATTATTATCTATGGTATACCACAAAGTATCTTGTTTACCTTAATGGACGCTTACTGTGTCACCTGGTTTGTATGGCTTTGGGTACATTATTACCTTGTTTGTTTATACGTTAGATGCAAGCTATGTTCAATTAATGACAAAATTTTTAAACAAACTCAAAGTAAATGTAAATACAATTTAATATACATTAGAAAAACTATACATTTATTAAATGATATATATTTAGAAGTTAACGATTATAATGATACATATTGGTCCAAGTGCATTTTAAGTTTATGGTGTTTGTTAGGAATTGTGACCATTATTATAATATACGTGCTTATTTTCATCAAGATTAATATTTATATCAAACTAATAGGGTATTACGCTATAGCTATAACATTAATCCCGCTACTTTTAGTGGGCTATATGTCAGCTTCAGTAAATTACGAAGCTAATAAATCTTATAAGTTGTTCAATATGTTTAATACTCGAAAAATTTAAAAATTAATTACAAATTTAACGTAATTGAAATTATTATCATATTTATTAAATATTTTAAATCATTTAAACCTAATGTCTATAATTTAATGTTTAATGAATATATCGTTTTGGGTACTCTATTATTATAAGTTATACTGTAGTTACTACAGTGTAGTATACAGTTTGTATAACTATATCTATAAATATAAACAAGGTATAAAAGCCATGTTTCTATCGGTGTTTGATATGTTTGCCGGTTATGTAACACACAAACAGTTCGGACCCAGAAATATGGATGGATTTTATGTGACAAGTTGTGTACTTGTTTTCAATTGACCAGATTTGTGCAAAAATACCCAGTTACATACTCATGATAAAAATACTTTACATGCAAAAATGTACTAGCATTAAAATTGTTAAATATGACATTAATTTGTAATATTAAAATACCAATGTAAATACTTTACAACGCGTGCTAATTTATGAATATAAATTTAATTATATAATAGGCATAAACACTACATCATGAACATGTAACGCAATGCACAAATAAAAGTATAAAAAACACTGTATAAGTTTGTAA